TCTCTAGGAGTTACTCCTAAATTTACCCGTTTTAGGCATAAATAGTAGCTCTTGAGTTAGAGAAAAACACCATCTTGTTACCATTGTTCATTTGGTGGTGCAACTAACATCAAGGTCAAGTTCCATACATTCTTGATTTGGCTACCATCTTTTTGTTGATTCTTTTGAGTGGTAACCAAATTAATTCATGCTCCACTGTTGCTTTATCTAGTTGCACATCAGCATGGAGCTTGTTAATAGGTGCTTTATCTTTCCTTTTTGGGTTTCCACTTCCAGTTCCAGGGGATTCTAGAAGAAAGTTAGAATATTTTCACAGATTTTTGTTGTCAAAGATTACTTAACATCGTGCTGAATCTCCTAGAAGCAGTTGAAGGAAAAGTGTTACCATTACATGGAAATTTGAGTGAAGCTAGATGCACACAATGGAAATAACTTGAGTAGTATGAACTTGTGTCTGTGTTTTTGTACCTTAGGTTAAGGGGATAAAGTTGAATGCGGTTCTCTGTACCTGATTTCTGAGGCTTCACTGAAGTTTAGAAATTACTGGGCTGCACAGAGGTAGGAGTTAAATTGTTAGACACTTGGACTAAAACAGGTGGTAACTGGGCATTAACATATTTATATATGTGTATGCAGAACAGTCTACTAGTTGCTTTAATTGGATGGCAGAAAGTCCTAGCTAGGAAAGTTAATCAACAGCATTTTTATTGATTCAGAAAGTTTGGTTACATATGTTCTGTAAGTAGACTAGGATTTATATTTCTTTCAAATATGGCAATTGGTATAGTGATATGGGTAAGTTTTGGAATTTAATAGCATTAGGATTTTATGTAGAGTTTACACTTTTAAGTTTATTGAAGTTTTGATATAGGAAAAAAAGAGTTTAAAAACAACATTAAGAGAAAAATTAACGAAGAACTTAAGAGAAAAATAAGAAAAACCAAATTAGTGATATTGGATCTCAATAATCGATCAACCTTTCAATGATGCTTGTATATACTCACCAAGCATGATCAAAATAAAGAACTTTGTATCTACCTAGGATAAAAGAGCTTAAAAACAATTTAAGAGAAAAATTATATAAATAATTAAGAGAAAAATTAACAAACAACCAAACTAGTGATCTCAGATCTCAACATCTGAATAATGTTTGTACATACTTACCAAGCATAATCAAAATAAATCTACCTAATTAGCAAAATGAGCATATTATTTGAAGAATCTATAATGATAATAATTGAATAGTATTCTAGCTAAATAGGAAATGATAAGCTTAAATCAATAACAACTCTGTAATAGTTACTAAATAAGCTAAATATTCTTAATAATACATAAACAATCACTTACATATAATTTAGGATCTTCTTGTTTTGCATCGTATTTTTGTACTTACTAAAAAATCGACCTAGAGTTTCACCATGTGGAATTAGAAAGAGTGTGAAAACTTAAACATGGCTTTCGAAGAAGAGAAGCTTGTATAAGATCCTTTGAGAAAACAAAAATGTTGCCATAAGTGTAGAAGTACTAAACTATGTAGGTTTAGTACTTCTACACTTAATTGATATGTAATTTCTATGTAATTGGGTGGTACTCCCTTAATACCTTTGTGAATAATAATACTTTCACTTTTTATTTAAAAAAAAATATAAAATGTAGGTGCTACAAAATCTACTGAAGGAGAACTGCCAGATTCTAACTATTAGTATCAAACGGTAAAGACTTTTTAGGTCTAGTCTCTTCAACTAGTGTCGCTTTTGTCTTCATGGAGCTCTAATCAACCAAGAAAACTTGTACTCAGCATAGGTGATGTCAGTGTTTGTTAATAAATCAAAAAATAAGTGTTTTTTTTAAGAAAAAATCAAAAGATAAATGACAAGGTTGGCAAGAGGGTTGGGATGTCAAATGGCGAAATTACCAATAAAGTATCTGAAATTACCTTTGGGAGTTAACACAAAGATGAGAGGACATGGGATCCGGTGGTGAAGAGCTTCAAAAGAAGGTTGGCGGGTTAGAAGATAAACCTTTTTTTTATCAATAGGAGGTAATTGACACTTACTAAGAGTATGTTGGTTAACGGACCTAATTATTACATGTCTTTTCTGATAATCCCAATAAAAGTGACCAAAAAATTGGAATTTATTCATTGTAGGTTCATTTGGGGTGATTCGGGGAACAGGAGGAAGTACTATTTGTGAATTGAGATGAAATAAAAAAACCAATGTCTCATAGTGGTTTGGGGTTGAGATGTTTTGTGGAGATGAATATGGCTCTACAAGGGAAATGACTATGGAGGTTCATGAAAGAGAATGGTACTCTTTAATGGAGAATGATTGAGACAAAGTTCGGTACTGTTGATACGGGCTGGTTTTCTAGAGTTGCAACGAGACTGCACGGGCAGGGGTTCTGGAGGAAAAGTAGCATGAGTAGGCATAAATTCCAGGAATGCATAGGGGATGTTGCGGCAAGATGAATATGGCTCTGTAAGGAAAATGACTATGGAGGTTAATGAAAGATAACAATAATCTTTGATGGAGAGTGACTGAGACAAAATTCGATACTGTGGATAGGGGCTGATTTTCTAGAGTTGTGACAAGACTGTGCGGGAAGGAGATGTGGAGGAAAATTTTTTGAAATAGACATGAATTTCAGGAATACATCATATGGAGTGTAGGTAGGGGGGACAATATTAATTTCTAGCAGGATTCCTGGCTTAGAGGAGGTGTATTCAGAGACCAATTCTCTCAAATTTATGCTATAGCATGGTATAAGGACATCACAGTTTATGAGTCATGAGAGATAATGGAGGGAATAGAGAGTGTATTGTGAATAGGGTGAGTAATCTCAATGATTGGGAGATTGATGATTATGAGTCTCTACTAAAAAATATACTTTCCTTTGTCAACCTGATTGGGAACAATGATTAACCATTATGGAAACTCAAGAGCAATGGTTTCTTCACTGTCAACTTATATTACAATCATTTGGCTAAGAATGAAATAGCAGAACCCAGGTTTCTGTTTTAGCAAATATGGAATGTGAATGCTCCTCC